TGAGACCCCCGCCGACACTCTGTASCCAGGCAGCACCCACCCGCACGGACAGGGACCCACGGCACCCRCCCGTGCAGCCCCCATGGTGGGTACAGGACCCACGGTGGGCACGGCCCCCACGGCCCCCACATCCACAGCCTCGTGTCGTGCCCCACGGCTTGCCCAGCACCTCTGGGTGGCCCCAGCACCCCGTGCCCACCCCGGCYCCGCCGTGCCCGCACCTCCAGCTTGGCGAACTTCTCGGCGCGGTAACAGGCGTACTCGGCATTGATGAGCTTCGTCAGCAGGAACTCCTGGAACTCGGGGCCCTGTGGAGCGAGGGCGGCCCTGGGTGGGTGCGTGGGTGGGTGGGTTGGTGTCACCAGGGACCCCGGCAGCACTCACGGGCCCTCACCTTCCTGAAGATCGCGGGGTCGGGCAGCGGCGGCCCGAAGAAGGGCACATCATCACGGGCGGTGACGGAGACCTGCGGCGGATGGGGTGTGACAGGACAGCCCGTGGGCCCCCATGGGAACGGGGACACTGAGGCACGGGGACTACCTTGTAGAGGGTGCCCTGGGTGCCTCCCTGCTCCAGCTGCACCACCACGAAGGCGTGGAGGAAGTTGGAGGCGATCATGTCAGGGACGAATGGCGTGTTCTCGTCCTGGAAGACGATGGCCACGATGTCGTTGCCAATGTGACGCTTCCGCTGCAGCTGTGGGGACACGGAGGGACATAAGGGATAGGGGGTACACAGCAGGACAGGAGGGACAGAGAGTGGTCACACCAGGGGTATCAAAAGGAATGAAAGCCCCTGTGCCCCACAGAGGCGCCCCAGCACCCATGGGTGCCTTCCCAGCCCTCTGCATCCCACAGATCCCCCAGACACCCACGGGTGCCTTACCAGCTCTCTGCATCCCATAGATGTTTCTCCACACCCATGAGTGCCCTGCCACCTCCTGGGGTCCCCAACACCCCTGGGGGACCCAGGAGTGCCCTCCACTCCAAAAGCCCCACGAGTCCTTCCACCACACAGAAGTGCCCAAGGACCACCCTCAAGCACCCGTGTCCCCCCCGTCCCCCTCCTTCCACCCCCCAGTACCCGTGGGTGCCCCAGGAGCCCCTGCCCACCACAGACACCCCCCAGCACCCATGGGTGCCCACCTGCTGGGTGTCCCCCTCGGTGTAGGGCAGCTTGGTGGAGACGTGGAACATGATCTCCTTGTCACGGAAGTGGCAATAGACTGACTCGCTGCCCGTCTGCCCGTGGGTCACGTCCAGYCCCCCTCGGAACCTGCAGGGGTGGGTAAGTGGGTGATACAGACATTCCGTGGGCCCCCCATCCTCAGCACCCCCTTACACACCCCTTGAAGTCCCGCAGCTGCACCCGCTGACCCAGGACGTCAAGGAATTCAGTGAAGGCTGGGCTCTCCTCTGTGGTGCCGAAAAGCTCCTCCTCGGAGGTCTGTGGTGGGAGCGGGGTGGGTGCCAGCACCCACCCAGGGATTCCCCCCACCCTAACCCCCACCCACCGCACCCTGTACCTGCCCCAGTTTTTGGTAGATGACCCCAAATTTGAAGTGGTTGCTGAGCACGTGCTCATCGAAGGCAAGGATGAGGCGGGAYGCCTGCAGGGTGGGGAGGGGGCAGAGGTTGGGGAGGGGCACCCACGGGTGCCCACATCCCCCCTCTCTGCACCCCGTTCACCTTGGGATAGAGCACGGGATAGAAGCGATCCACGTTGACATCCTCGCACACCAGCTGTGGGAAGGGGGGTGATGACATGGGGAGCCCGGGGCTGGGGCACCCGTGGGGGCTGCTGGAGGTGTTTGGGGAGCACCCCTGGGCACTGCCAGGGAGAGGGGTCGCACTCACCTTGGCCATCTGCACCACGTTGGGGAACTCAGCCAGGCAGGAGATGGGCACCACATCGTGTAGGGTGCGGGTGCGGGTGCTGCGGGGCGAGGAGGGGTCAGGGGGTCAGGAGGGCCCCATCCCTGGGCAGTTCCCATGGGTGCCCCCACACCCTGCTCACCGCAGCAGCAGGTGGAGGTGCTCCTGCTCRTCGTACTTGAGGGAGAAGACGAGGTGGCCCAGTGCTGGGTCCAGGGAGTAGTAGTTGAAGTGCTCCTGTGGAAGGGGGCCAAGCAGCCATGGCCAAAGGTGCTCACTCTGGAGGCACCCATGCCAGGGGACACCACACCCGTGTCCATGAGCACCACCATCCATGGGCACCCATCCCATGCCACACTTGTGTCCATGGGGTACCCGTGTTCATGAAGACCCATTCCATAGGGTACCCATGACCTTGAGCACCCCCATAATATGGGGCAGCCGTGTCCATGAGCACCCATATCGATAGGGCACCCATGCCCATGGCATACTCACACCCATGAGCACCCGTGTCCATGAGCACCTGGACCCACAGGCAGCACCTATGGAGCACCCACCCACCCCATGGGGCATTCCAGGCTCCCTGGACACCCAAACTCACTCTCATGTCCATGCAAACCCATGGAGCACCCACGTCTATGGGCACTCATGCCAGGGGCTCTGCTGCCCATGGAAACCCAACATTGACCTCCTTGACCACCCACCCCATGGGGTAGCCACGTGCCAAGTACCCATGTGCCAAAGCACGCGTGTTTGAGGCCTCCATGTCCTTCCACACCCATGGAGRACCTACCCCACCCTTGTCATGGGGCACCCACACCCAGGGATATCCACATCCGTGAGCAGCCATGTCCATGACCCATGACAGGGACTCCCATACCTGTGGGAGCCTGTGGGGTCTCTGTGCTCCTGCCCCCCAAACCCATGGGGTACCACCCCRSCCCACCCCARACCCTGCCCCTGCAGCTCCCCAGGGCCTCACCTTGCCCAGGAAGTGCTTGCGGTAGATCTTGGCTGTGTGGTTGCCCTCCAGCTTTGCCCGWGTGCCGGGTACAGGGATGGGGGGCGAGTCAGGGGCCCCGCTCAGCTGGTGGTTGGTGCCCTCGATCCAGTAACCCCCAAACTGCGGCAGGAGGATGAGGGGGAACGGCCCCTCCCGGCCCAGCACCTGCAGCCACGGCCACAGTGGGTGCTCTGGGCACCCACCCATCCACCCACCCAGCCACTGGCCCTTGCACCCCTCTCTGGAGGGTGTGCGTGCTCTACCTCGTGCACGCTGGGGTAGGGGATGTAGTCCTCCTCCGTCTGCAAGACAAAGAYGGGGTGACATCCACAGTGGTACCCCTGGGTGCTGGCTCCGTGCCCCCCAGCCCAGCTACACCCACCTTGAGCGGCGGGGGGACAGTGTGGCGTTGCTGGGCCATCCTGCTGCCCTGGGGAGAGAGGGGCTGTGGGTGCCTGTCACCCCACCTTGGGGTGGGCATCCTTTGGTGGGGAGCACCCATGGGTGCTTACCTCAGGGTTAGGAGGTGCTGCTGGCTGGAGATGCGTCTAGGTGGTGTGAGGGGGTCCGGGGGGGCCCATGGCGCTTCCTAGGGAGAGGAGAGCTCCCCCACAGCCCCTCGGCGGGACGCCCGGCCAGCGGCCTTACCCCCGAAGCCAACTGCTGGCAGCGAACCGAGCGCCCCCCTGGCAGCGCCAGGGCCCAGCGGGGCGGGGGTGACTCGGGGGCACCGCTGAGACCCCGAACCCTGCACAGCCCCACCCCGCCCCAAAGGGCGCCCTCTGCCGGCGGGAGGCGGGGCCGCGGGGCAGCACCACGGACAGCGCCGGGACTCCGCCAAATTGTCACCGACCCCGCCGAGTGTCACYGACACCGCGCCCGTGTCACCCACCCCGTGAAAATGTGATCACCCCCCCGCCASTGTCACCAATCCCGCGCCGGTGCCACCCTCCTCATGAAAGTGGCATCGACCCCGTGCCAGTGTCACCCTCCAGGTGAAACTGTCACTGACCCCGTGGAAGTGTCACTGACCCCGCACAAGGATTACAATTTTTGTGCCAGTGCCACCGACCCCGTGCCCAGGGTCTCTCCCCGTGCAAGTATGACCATTCCCACGCCAGTGTCACCAGCCCCGTGCAAGTGTCACTCTCCCCGCAGCAATGTGACCACCGTCCCCATGCAAATGCCACTGTACCCATCRAACACAGCCCTGGTGCAAATGTGACCCGGCCCTGTGCAAACACAATGACGTGCAAGTGGCGTCCTTGGTGCAAAAGGGACCCTCGTGTAAATGTCACCGTCCCTGTGCAAACACGACACTGGTGCAAATGAGCTCCGTCCCTGTGCACAGACCGCCCCAGTGCAGGTGGGACCCATTCCTGTGTAAACACGGCGCTGGTGCAAACACAACCGCAGCCAAGCACAGCCCTGGTGCAGGTGTGATCCGTCCCCGTGCAAGCACGATCCCGGTGTMCCCAAGCCAATGCGACATCGCCTCCCCTCCCCTTCCAAACACGACCCTCGTGCAAATACGCCCCGTCCCCATGCACCCCCTGGGCCACAGCGTGACCCCACCGGGCTGGGAGCGACCCTGGGGGGGCTCCCCCATCGCTCCGCACGCCCTCCCCAAC